CCTCTCTCCCTCTATCCCTCAAGTGCCTTGTCTTCTCTAGGTTGAACAGTCTCAGCTTTCTCAGCGTTTCCTCATACGAGAGATGTTCCAGTCCATCATCTTCATGGATCTTCACTGGACTCTCTCAAGTACATCCATGTCTCTCTTGTACTGGGGAGCCCAGAACTGGACACAGTACTTCAGGTGTAGCCTTACCAGTGCAGAGTAGAGGAGAAGGATCACCCCCTTTTACCTGCTGGTAGTATGTCTAATGCAGCCCAGGACGCCATCAGCCCTCTTTGCTGCAAGGGCACATTGCTGGCTTACGTTCAAGCTGGTATCCACCAGGACCCCCAGGTTCTTTCCTGCCAAGCTGCTTTCCAGCTGAGTGGCTCCCAGCACATGCTATTGCGTGGGTTTATTCTTCTCCTGGTGTAAGACTTTGCAGTTCTCCTTACTGAACTTCATAATGTTCCTGACAGCCTATTTCTGCAGTCTGTTTAGGTCCCTCTGGATGGCAGCATGACCCTCTGGCATATCAGCCACTCCTCTGTTTGGCATCATCTGCAGACTTGCTGAGGGTGCGCTCTGCCCCATCATCCAGATTGTTAATGAAGATGTTGAGCAGGATTGGATCCCGTATTGATCCCTGGAGTACACCACTAGTTACTGGCCTCCAACAGTGTGCCACTGGTCACCACTCTCTGGGCCTGGCTATTCAGTAGTTTTCGATCCACCTGACTGCTTGTCCAGCCCGTACTTCAACAGCTTCTCTATTTCACATGAAAGCAGTTTGAGTTTATGCCAGGAAATGGCAACCTAATTTCCCAAAGAAGATAGTTAATTCTTTTGTGACTGGCAAAAACGTCCATGGGTTCTTTCCATATTATAAGCAGGTGTCTTTTTTACTGGACACATTTAGCAGAATTGTATGCCTAATCCATAATTTTCTGCTCGAGGAGCTATTCTGGGAAACTTAATTTTATCTAAAAAAAAACCTCCAAACCCAAATCACAACCCAAAACAATCCTTGGCCATGGGTTTTTACTTAATATCTTCAGTGTGTCTGGACTTAAAAAAAAAAAAATCCTTTTTTTTCTAACTACTGAACTGTAGTATGTATCAAGTTCAGAATTCAGTGATGCTTTTCCTTTGAACTAATCCCCGATGAAGGAAGGCAGTGCCCTACTGCTATGACTTGGGAAGCTGATGTACCCTTAGAATTGCTCTTGGTCTCTAATGGGGAGGCACGTGCTAAACAACAGTGTGAAAACCAAATTGATTCTATGTACCTTTCATCTTTCACAACATAACTTTTGTAATGCAGTTACAAACTGATTTTTTTTTTTCTGTTTGTCTCCAAGTTTTGTCCTAAACATAGTTAGAATGAAAACACATCATTGAGTACTTCTGGTCTGTAAGAAGCATTTTTTAATTGTTTTACGTAATCCAGCTTTTGAACAGCAGTATGTACCAACTAGCGAAGGGGTAGAAAATTTCTACATCTTCCTCCCTACTCTGCCATCTGTTCCTCCAGTTTGAAGCAAGAAATACATTATGCAGATATTGATAAGTACTAGTGGAAGACTAATAAATACCATTGTGAAGTCAAACGTAAAAGAACGACTTCCTTTTAGCATTAAGACACTACCCCTGTTTAATCAGGAGGCCTTCAAAAATAGGATGAAGTACACATCTGAGAATTTTGTGTAAGCCTGGCTGGTGACTTCAAGAAACTTCATTAATTTTCAATTAAATAAGAGTGTTGCTGTAAAAATGAGCAACGTTGCATGAATTGTTTGCATCTTGAAGTAGATAAAAATTCCTTATACACATTCAACTGTGTGTATATGCAGATATGCACAATATTATTAAATGGAAAATGAGACCAGGGATGTGTTCCTTCAAGGAGCTTTTTCCTGTGGTTGGTTTTGCTGTGGAATACTTTAATGTACAAAGAACAATAGTTCATATGTCTTTTCCACATAAAATATCAGATGTTGGATCATTGGACAAAAATCTAAATTTAAATCTTTAAACATAATTGTTAATTGTTAATTAAGCTCTTTTAAGAGGTGACTGTTTTGAGGACGTTACGCTTGTTGTATGTATGCAGTTTGCAGTTCTAGTTAAAAGTAAACTCACTGGGGCTTATCAAACAGCACAGAGTACACTGACCAAAGGGCATATCCTATATGCTTTCAAAGTTTTTGATATTGCTTGATTTTTTGTAGAGGATAAACAAAGGGCAGTTTTCACATTGATTTAGAAGTTTCCTTAAAGTCATTTTTTCACTGGACAACATGCTTGCTTGCTGCCTATCTCTGTCTATAGCTCTATATCTTTTTATAGCTTTTTAAATAACATCAAATCTAGTACACTGCTCTAGCAGTTCTGTCGCTGTGGAATTGTTAGAGCAAAGTTTGAATAAGAAAATAGATTAAAGCATGGAATTGTAAAGAATTGCCTTCTCCTTAATCTCTAACTATGAATGTTTTTGTAACAGCAATGATGGTGCCATTCTGGGTTCTTCTGGTATCTAGGGGTTGCCAAGCTTTATAAATAATGCTAGTGTTTACAGACAGATTAAAGAAAAGGAGGCTTTCAGTCCTTCTTATGGTCTTGTGATACTTCAGTTAAATGTGATACGCACCTAAACCTTATTTGTCCCATGAAGTAAGTTTGATATCTGTAGAGAAGTGTGCACCTCTTTTTCTGTAAGCTCTTTTGAAAAAGGAGGGTGCCTGGTTCTGAAGCTCATAGTTTTCCTTTCCATGGTCATAGCCTGTAATACTTGCAGAATCTCGTGAGACCAAAACTACCTAGCTGAGAGAAGGGTGAGATGACATTTAAGTATTGATGGTTTAGCTACATAGAATTAGTCTCTTAAATGAAAGTGTTGACCTACATAACTGGGAATTTGTTAATCTAATTACGCTTGGTTTGATAACTAGAGTAGTAGTCTTCTCATATAGACAAGGCTTGAGAATGCAGAGGCCATTTGGGTATATAACTCCAAACGTATGTTGCCAAGTCAGATCGAAGAGAACTTTTTAAGAACTAAATCCTGAAATATGAGAAAAATGTTAGGAAAGAAAATATTAGGAAGGCAAGTTTGTTTCTTGAGAAAGTATTTCTCTCAATAGAGGATGTCTTTTAAAAAACACTGTAAATTACTGATTCAGATTTTTGTACTGAGCTAGCTTCTTAGGCGTCTTAAAATGTTTGGTTTGCTTTAATAAACTATGTTGTCGCTTTCTACCTTTCTAATTACCTTAGCCAGCTCCATATGATGATTCCTAACTGCTATATCCTCCACTGAATGTGTTTGCCTTCGTGACCTGTTCTGTCATGCTCTGGCCCAGATCTTGTTGAAGTCTTATTTGGGTGTACTGCCTGGTCACGCTCTTCATACTTGAAATGCGTGTGCGCGGGACAGTTCCTGTGAAAACTATGCTTTAATGTAGATTAGTGATCTAAACTAGGTTTTAAAAAAAAAAAAGTAAATGTCAATTTTGTGGGTCATCTGCAATTACATGTTAAGCAGCTGGAAAAATGTTTTTAAGGGGGTATTGATGTTACTTTGTCTTATCAGTATTTTTCCAGTAATCAATAGCAAGCTGCTGGTCTGTTTGAACTATCAGTTCAAATAAAATTGTTCTGCATCAATGTTCTTGAATAGTTTCAGAAGTGTGGTGTTGAAGTCCATTATTGCAAGGCATAGCAGTTTCTAACAGTCACCTTTTATTCACTATTTAAGTAACCTGAAATAACTCCATCTTTTGCACAAGATTCCATTTCATTAGGCAACACTGACTTGTTTTATGGGAAACTTATTCCCACAAATGTATTTTGGAATAATTGATATGAATAATTAAATTGCCACAGCAGTTGAGCATGCAACACAATATTTTGCACAATGTTATAACAGAGAAATGATACGTAGAGGATTTAAACTTAAGTCATCTTCTCTGCGAAATATCCTGTATGTAAAATAACTGGACGTGTGCCCTCACTGTTTGGGGAGAGGCTTTTTAAAAAATTGCAACAGTAAAACCAAAACCAGTAAAATGGCCTCCCTCAGCAATTGTAAACTTTCAGAAGCAATTACTTAAGTCTGATGCTGGCTCATTTGCAAATTTATATATAAATCATCTCAGGAAATAGACTTCATAGTATGGTCTAAGATTATTTAGGATTTTCCTTTTAAATAGCTGTAGCTGATTCTCTCACAGTGTTTGTCGACTGGTGTAGCATGAACTCAAACTATAGTGATACTTCTGTGCTGACATAAAGGGTTTGAAAAAAGTTTTGCAGTTGTTTGCTTAATTGGGGCACAGATACAGGTGAAACTGGGAAGTCTGTAGCAGCAAACTGGAAAACAGTTGCCTGTGGATGCATCAGCTTATTCAGTAGGCACATGGAAGAAATATTCTTTCAGGAGGAGTAAACTTGTGTATCCTGTGGCATGATTCATGTTTATGCTACTGTTGTGTTACTCCTTAGAATTCAGTCATCTTTATTCAGTTGTTTATTTCCAGATTTGTAGAATGGGGTTTCTAACTGATTTTTTTCCTTTGCCTTTAAACCAAGCGATTTGCTCTTTTTTAAACAAGAAACCCCACCCTTCTGATTCCCTAACTAATATTATGTGAAATTGTATGAATACAAAAATGTCAAACTTGCTAAATTTTAGACCTTCTTGTCTTACAGTCAGTGTGCCATTTTAACATTTACATCCTTGCATTGCTTAAAATAAAAAGCTAAAGTAGTTCTTGAATTCTTAATGACTAATACCTTTGCTCTCAGAATCCTTACTCGATGCATGCATAGCTCAGAGTAGTTGTTTGCTATGATTTGGCTTTTGTACAGCATCAGAAAAAAGTGTATTGTATCCTTCTCAGTATGTGTCTCTTTTCCCACCTCCAGGATGTCCTTACTGTTCACTATCATCTGATACCATCACCATCAAAGAGTAAAAATGGCAGCAAAGAGAAAGAAAGAGAACAGGAAAAAGAAAAAGATGCAAAAGAAGAATTTGCTGAAGCTTTAAGAGATCTAAAAATACAGTGGATGACCAAGTATGTCTACTCTCATGACTACACAAACTTGAAGCATCTGTACAAAAAAAACCCCAGAATCTTTACTTTCATGCTGTGTCCTCCTCTTCTAGGCTGGATACCACTGACATGTATAATGAGTTGAAAGAAGCGTTTCCTAATCATCTTCCATTGTATGTTGCAAGACTTCATCAACTGGATTCTGAAAAGGTTATTTAACACTTTAAAACGTGATTTATCTCAGTACATGTTTGTCGCAATACATCCGTGTAACGTAAATGGCTGAATTTTTCTTTATATGTATGTGGTCTTGAAGTGACTGCCAGAGCTGTATCCAGTACTATAAAGCAGAAATTCCTAATAAGATTGGCAGCTGCCTCTCTAACTGACTGTCATTTACTTAATCCCACAGCAGAGTGAAAGAAAGTATGCCTTTGTGTAGCATGCTTGCTTATCACTTACTCCTTGTGAAGTTAAACACATTGTAAGTTTCCTTACTGGTTTAGGCTACAATGATATTATCCTAAACCGTGGTTACTGAGGCAAGCATACAGCCCATTCTGCTCCTCTACTGGATTGGTAATTTTTTTTGGCAGAATTGCTCAGACAACTGAGGACAGGAACCCTTGTAATGACACAGTTAAGTCCACCATCTGTCACTGTGGTCAAAAATGAGAACTGCGAACAGAAAATTTCACATATGTCTGCTTTTTTTTTTGTCTTGGAAGATAAACAGCTTTGTGTATATGTCAGTAGGTTGAATATTTTTCTATTTATTTGATTCCGATTTTATATTTATTTCTGAGATGAGTGACTGCTACCATTACTCAAGAAGACTAATTTGTACTGAAAGGTGTTTTTCTTCCTGTAAGTTCTGCATTTTGCATATACCTACTTCATATTTTACAATTTATTTTCAGTGAAATGGACTACATATGTGAGAAATCTTGATAATGCAGACGACTTATCAGGTTTTTAAATAAAAAAGTGGAGAAGAGGACGTGTTGAATCATCTAATGTTATTTCTGCATGCCTTTGCAATTATCCTAGCGTTGGTAGAATCAACAATCGAGTAGTGTGATTTTCATAGTGCTAAACACCTTTTTTATTCTCCTTTTAGGAACGAATGAAAAGACTTGATGAAATTGTTGAAGCTGCAAATACTGTAATCTCTCATATTGATCAGACAGCACTAGCAGTATATTTTGCCATGAAGACTGATCCCAGGCCTGATGCAACTACTATAAAAAAGTACCTACCCAGTAAATAATTTTCCTGCATCCTATTTCTGTAATCTATGTACTTTGTCTCTGCTTATAAAAAAAATGGAATGACTGAGTAACTTGTGTTATTTTGGGGACACAGGTAATTTAAAACTTGAATGCAAAGTTTTGTTCTCTTATTGTATCTCCAGAATGCAGGAACACTGAAACCTGAAAGGTTTTACTTAGAAATATTAAATAAAATAAACAAGAGTGCTTTCAGGATTTAAATATGTCAGAAAAATGGGATATTAAGTTTTTATATCAAGCTTAATATCAGATCAGAGGAACTACTAGAATACCGATCTAGAGGGGTATTTGACCACTACCTGCCTTTTCGTAATATTTGCCAACTTTTTGAATCTGGATTTGAAGAAAAATAGACAGCAGTGCAGGATGTAACTACTTGTAAAAGATTTCATTTGTGAAAGACATGATGACCATGCTTGTGCCTCAGAGTATTCTTGAGACCCATTTTTTTCTTTAGTTTTAGATTGTTCCTCTGAATTACCAGTATATATCCGTAGGAAAACAGTATTTTGAAGGTGATGCCCTAGTCCGGAGAATAACTGGTAGATTTCACAGTGTGTGGTGTGGTGCTGTTTTAGCCGCAAATAGAGCAGCAGATTTGAAGATTAGGCTCTTGAAAGGAGAGATACATATTTGTTGATTATTTTAAATAAAATACCAGATTTCAGTTGTAAAGCTAATCTGTCTGTTCTAGCTATCCTGAATATTTCTGTATAATTCTAGCATTGCTGAAATAAAAGCAAACCTATGACATAATAACCTTCATTCTAAACATTTCTTGGTAAGTTGACCCATTAGGTCATGTGGTTGAATCTCTAACATCTGAAATTGAACACCAAATTCAGTGGTGCTTTAAATGGGTGCAATTCCTTTGAAGTCAGCAGAATTGTATCTGCTTCTGTTAGTGTTGGATTTGACTCTCTCTGTTCATAATGCCAAGAAATGTAAAGCTGTATTTCTAGATGCTGTCCTACTCAGTTTTAGAAGCCTGAATTGCCCTTGCCTTAAGACAGCAAAGGTGTTTAAGACTTAGAAGAATGATTTAGCTTATTTAATGCATAGTGTCTAGATCATTTTTTTTTTACACTTAATTTATGGTAAATAGCCATACTTTAAAAATGTATCTTTGTGCTTGTCTTCGTTTTGTATGTACTAACTGAAGTAAACTTTTTAGCTTAATCTCAGTACAGCACTGATTCTATTTTTAATGAGGTATCTGCAAAAAGTCCTTAATATTTTCCATGCTGTGTTTTTTTTCTAGTGAAATGGAAAAACAGAAGACTACTTTAGTGGATGCACTTTGTCGAAAAGGAAGTGCACTGGCTGACCAACTTCTTCATCGGCAGGCCCAAGAAGGGGCTGCTTCCAGTGATGCAGAAGGCAAAGATGAGGATCATGAGAGCTGCTCAGAAGCTTTAACAGAGACATTCTGGGAAACAACAAAATGGACTGATCTTTTTGACAGCAAGGTAAGAGAGCAGAGCAGGCTTTTTTTGGTTTGCATGTTGGGTTTTTTAATGGTTTCTCCTGGAATTATGCACCGCCTTTGTGTGCACAGCCTCATACATTCCTCCCTTCTACTTTTTCATGCTGTCTCTGTATGTTGTGCTTCCTTAATGACCTTTTTGCACAGAGGTTTTACCAAGTCTGTTAAATCCATGGTAAGCCTATCTCTGTGCATGTGAATGTAGAGGTTAAGGGAAGGGTATAGAACAGTATCAGATTTCCATTAAAAAGCTGCTTGCTTTATTGAATTGCTTCTTTCTGTACTTTTCAGGATATGTTTTTGATTAGCCACTGCACTGTTCTAGCTGTACACACACAGAAGTGTGCAGCATCCCTACTCTGTTCAGTCCTGCATTCTGTAGCCTCTTCTACACTATGGACAAGAGAAGTTTTGTGTTTTGCTGTCATTAATGTCTGTAGAGGTAAAGGAAGAAATCCTTGGAAGTAATTACACTTACATATTTATTAGCACAGACTTCCTTGTCATTTCAAGGTTCCTCATTCTGAGATTAAGTTTTTGTGTGCTTCATTCAGGACAGAAGTTCCGGGGCTGGGGCGGGGGGGGATCCGTTTTAGGTGATTCGTTATGTAGCTTTTAATTTAGAGTTTGACCTTGTTTAACCATTGAGTTACTGAGTATTAATTAGTTGCTATACTCAACTCTTGCATACAGCTTTGTTCTAGCGGAAGATGAGGTGACCAATGTATATTTGTTTATAATTCAATTAAATTCCCAAAGCACTTCAGATAGTTATAAAAGAAAAACTTTAAAATTAAAAAAATTGCTTCGTTTGCTTGACAGTAAATAATCCTCCCAGTAAGAACTCATGCTTTAGCTGGAAGCCTGAACAAGAAGGTTGATGGTGGTTACCCTCACTTCTTTTAATGTATATATTTTAATGTATATATTCTTGTACACCTACCTCTTTTCAGCATTCTTCTTCTAATCTTTAGCTGATTGTAATATCCTGTGGTAGCAGATTTTGTGCTTTAATCATATTATCTGGCACGTGATTTTTCTTGCTGTCTATTTGTAAATGCAGTACTGTGTTCCAGTATAGTGACTCCTGGTGTACTTCTGCCTTTTGATTGTTTTTAAAGCTGATGGCAATATTTGCAGTGGAAAAACTGCCAATATAGACATCTTATTGGGAGTTTATCACTCTTTGTTACAGGGTTTTTTTCAAGACAGATATTGATTCCTGGCACTCCTGAGCTGTTTGCTCTGGGCATGGAATAAGTAAGTCTGATCTGAATTGCACAGATTAGGGATTGAACCTGTCTCTCACTGCCTTGACCATGGATTTGTCTAAGTGTGTATTCAGGTTTTGCTCTGAAGATTGATGCTTCTGTATGGTTAAATTGGTACTGAAAGGCCAACAAAACTTTCTAGATTTTTGTAGCATTTCATACGGAAATAACTTAAATCTAAACTGATTTACTGTTGTGAGCCTTACACACCCACTTGCTCAGTGCCCTGCAGCAGGATGGGGAAGAGAATTGGAAACATAAGTGAGCCAACTCCTGGGCTGAGATAAAGACAGTTTAATAGGTAAAGCAAAAGCTGCATGCACAAGCAAAGCAAAACAAGGAATTCATTTACCACTTCCCATCAGCAGGCAGGTATTCAGCCACCTCCAGGAAAGCAGAGCTCCATCACGCATAATGGTTACTTGGGAAGACAAACACCATCACTGTGAACATCCTCCCTTCCTTCTTCTCTATTCTTCTTTTATTGCTGAGTGTGACATCATATTGTATGGGTTGGTCAGTTGGGGTCAGCTGTCCCGGCTGTGTCCCTTCCCTGCTTCTTGTGTACCCCCAGCCTACTCACTGGTGGGGTGGTGGGCAAAGCAGAAAAGGCCTTGACTCTGTGCTAGCACTGCTCAGCAATAACTAAAACATCGCTGTATTATCAAAACTGTTTTTGTCGCAAATCCAAAACATAGCCTACAGGAGCTACTGTGAAGAAAATTAACTCTATCCCAGCCAAAACCAGCACATTGAGGATACTTTTAGCCCAGAAGCATTCTAGAGTGCTCTGGATATTTTAAGTGAGCGACTTCTGAAAACAGAGAAAACGAGCCTATTATGCTACATCCTAATGACTCCTGAGGTACATCGTTGTCCTGTGCTTTTCTGCAACCTTTCTGTCCTGTACCCTACCTAGCCTCACTTACTCAACCCTGCCTGGCCCGCAGTTTATCTTCTATGTTGTCTTGCTGCTGGACAAATTACCCTGTGTCAGTGTAGTTATGATTATTAATATAAGTGGTATTGTGAAGGCCACAAAGATGATTAAAGGGACTGGAGCATCTGTCATATGAGAGACTGAGACTGTTCACTGTGGAGAAGAGAAAGTTCAAGATGATTTTGTTTGGGTATGGATAAATCATGGGGGAGTAAAGGTGGATCCAGGCTCTTCCCAGTGGTTCCCAGTGACAGGGCAAGAGGCAGTGGGCACAAACTAAAACACAGGAATATCTACTTAAGAAAAAGTTGGGTTTTGGTTTTTCTGTGGGGGTTGTTGGTTTGTTTGTGGGGGTTTTTTTTTGGAAGGAGTAGGTGGAGAGGGTGGTGTGGTATGTTTGCTTGGGTTTTTTTACTATGAGGGTGATCAAACACTACAATGGATTGCCCAGAGAGGTGGTGAAGTCTCAGTCCCTGGAGGCTGTCAGAACTTAATCAGACATGATCCAGGGCAACCTACTATAGGTGGCCCTGCTTTGAGCAGCAGAAGTTGGATAGACTATCTCCAGAGCTCCCTTCTGCCTTCAACCATTTTGTGATTGAGTGACTGCTTGGCAAGTGGTTTTTGTAGCTCACTAGTTTCTGTGGTGGTTTTCTTCATGCTTTCTGTGATCTAGGAGCACGTATGTTGGTCAGTAATGATGTGGTGTTAGTTTTGCTAGCTGTCGGTTTAATATATCTGAAGATCACATGCATATATCCTCTCGTTTCTCCTGTGGTACTGTTCAGTAATTCTAATCCCAGCAGTACTTCCAGATAAGGTAAAAAAAAGGTTTGAAGGGAAAGAAATACATGCTGTTACTTAAAGCTTTCATATGATTATTGGAACTGAGACTTTTAATTGTTCACAATTTGGGGTTTTCTTTTTCTGGAAACTCTTTGAAAGGCCATTTTGCTTTGAAAGAAGATAATAGAGCATTCTAATGATTCTCCCTGATAACAGTTTTGCAGAAAAGGACTAGGGCTAGGGCCAAAGGCGTTATTTGCAATTGAGAAAAAACTTTATTGTTTTTCCTTTTTTGCTTCCTAGAAGTTTCATGCTTGCTGCTGTTCATAGTCTTTCATTTCCTTTATTAACAGGTGTCATATCCATCTAGTAGTTTTCTTAGGAACTGGCTGTAGTTAGCAATGACACTGTTCCAGACCAGCTGTTTCAGTTGTTAGCACTACAGTTTCCAGTCAGTGATGGAATGTTCTTTGATTGTTCCAAATCATAAACATAGGATAAGGATCCAATTATGCTTTGTTTAGCTTTTTTCGAGTGTCACTATTAATGACTAAGGCTACATAATTATGATATGGCCTGACACAAAAAAGGGTAAGAAAAAAATTACAACTATATCCCTGCTGTCTTTGTGGTAAACTGGGCGAACAGCTGTGCACGTGTCATGGGCTGTAACTTTCCCTCAAAAATTAACTTAATACTTTACGGTTCCTTCATTCCCTCACCTCTGCCAAACTGCATCTTATGTTCAAGCTGTCTGATCAGTATTCATTCATTTTTATTTATAATGGCTGACAAGCTTTGGAGGTGGAATTGTGCTTAAAATCTCTCACCTTCCTGTTTGAATTTTAGAAAGTGTCTTCTGCCCTAGAGATGGGCCAATAGAATGTTTTAAATATCTGCAGTGGCTTTTGGTCTTCCTCCTTTCCAGCTGCTTCTGTCTATTGGGAAGAAACACTTGTATAAATCGCCACCTTGATGTTGCATGCAATATGCTGTTGTACTACTTGAATACTTTGCTATTTTAAAAACAAATTGAATAGCTTAGTGCAAATAATTTTATTTTGCAGACTGTTAGTGGGAAATTTTGAAGCTGACTGTTTAAGGGGAACCGTACTGTTCATGTCGCTTGCTTCCTTTGAGATGGGGAGTTTAGGAACAGTGTTGAGGACTTAATTTTGTAAAGTAGCGTTTAAGGCTTCAAAAGAGATTCTGTCTAAGAAACAAGTATTTTTGCTAGGGTAAGGGCAAAAGTGTTGGTTGTGTTCTTCAGTCCAGCTCACTTGCACTTGGTAAAATTCACCTTGGTAGAAGACAAGAAATTATGGCTTTAGCGGCCTTTCTGTGATGCTACTCTGGACTGACTTGGAAAAGTCTGATAAAATGAAGTGTTGCGTCTTGGCTCCATCACCTAACCTTGCATGACTCATTTGCCTTTTGGTGAATAGAAGAGGTTTGGAAGGAGGGAGGGCAAAGCGGAGTAGCGATGCAAGATCAGGAATAGACCTTGTGTGAATGTCCTTCAAATGAGAGTCCTCAAGAGGCAGTTAGCTTATTCTGAAGCACTATGTTGGAACCGAAAACATGGAGATCTTCCTGTATGTGGACATGGCTTTGTGACATTGGCACTTGAAAGATGGAACAGCTGAGTGAGAAGGGAAATAAAGTGCTTGAATACTGCACTGATCATTCAAGTATATCTATGGCTTTAGATAGGAACATTGCTCTAAGTGTCTTTACTTCTAAGCTTCCCATAAGTCAGAGTTCATCCAGATGTCAGTAATTGAAAGACTAAGTAAGAGAGACCATGTTGTCTTTTATGTTGTTTTTAAAGATGAATCAGAAACATCATCACTTCTCTGTGTGTTTCTGCTCACCCTCTAGTAAACCAAGTACTATCACTTGTTTCACCTCTCTGCAGGTGTAGCACCTGTGTTGCCACAGGTCATTCTTGAGTTCCTTTGAATTGCCTGCTTTCCATTGAATTATTGTGCTTCTGCCCTTATTGTAGCAAGTATGTAGGGAGGCTGGTGCTGACTCGTGATAGTAAGGGCATTTGTTGACACTTTCAGCTATTCTAGTTACATCACTTATTTCCGAAGGTTTACTTTAAATGAAACATGAAAGAAAACATTTGTCCTCTGTGTACACAAAAGCATTTCAAATAAACTCCATGTGAGACAGCTCGATCAAGTATTTGTTTGATTATGCTAACATATTTGTGATAGTGCTTTAGTGTTTTTAGTAATGCAATTTTTCTGTTACAGAAAACATAGCTTTAAAATTCATAGGCCAAAATCCCCAGTTTTAAACAAAACTGCTACAGGAGAGTAATAGGATGTTGCCTGTTTATTACTGGGAGTGACTCGTCTGTAGAATTTAAAACCCCTTAACCTTTACATTAGCTGTTGAGGGTAAGCCTGAAGTCACATTTAAAGATAAGGTTAAAAACTAATAAAAGTCCCAGATCTTTCCATCCTGTCTTTTAACCATCTTTAGCCTGGATTATTTTTCATGTTAATGTCTGCACTGTCAGATGCAGCTGTCTCTTCCAGCTAATCATATTCAGTCGCTGCCAAAAACTTGTTGCTGGATACTTGATTCTCTTGACTCTCCTCCCTCTCTTAGAAATACGATGAGTCAGTTTTTTTATATGAATATTACTTTTATTTGTATTAAGCCAATTGATAGAGCAGATAGTAGTCAACAAACATCGCTAAGAAACCTTAGTTTATTACCATAGATGTATATGAACCTGAAAAATCTCGTTTTCTGATAATTGTAAACATGACATCTTCAGTGTTCTTACAAGTGGTTGGAGTGTGTTACCTATAGATGATATCGCTTAACCTAGTATTTTAATTATTTGTAAATATAGATTAATTGTAATCAGTTGTTTAAATAATGAAGTAACTGGTTCTACAAGTCTGCTTTCATTTTCATAGGTATTAGTATTAGGATATTAGAAAAGTGGGGTGTTTTTTGAGTAGTTTAGTGTTGCTGGGTTCAAAAAGTGTTCTTTTTTAAAGAGTGCTTTTAGGCTTTTAAATACTTTAGCCTGGCAAATGTCTTGAGAGAGATCGTTTCAGGAATTTACTGTCCTAAACATGCATCTTTATGTAGCCAATGGCAAGTTAGGCTGCTTGGGGAATAAAGTATCTAACAGTGATTTCCCCCCCAGTATCATAGAAGTACACATTGCCTTTTCTTATTACCCTTTGTTTATTGCTCTTTGGTCGGTTTCTGGGCCATGTCATTTGTTCCGTAAAAGCTAGCCTTAATTACATTTTTTGAAATTATGAAATAGTATCGAATACTTAAAATTCATTCCTAGTCTTTCATCTAGCAACTGCTTTTAAATCCTACAAATGGGTGGATTCGCTGTTGTTACACGTTCCGATAGCAGCTGTTTTCTCTGTTATATCTTAATAGCACTCCGGTGTACATTTTGTTTACACGTATCAAGGAATCATAGTCTTCACTTCTGTGATATGGTAAAGCTTGCGATATTTTAATTATAAGGTTTAATCTGACCAATATGCGTACAAGTTAAAGTTTTATTCCTTATATAATATTTTTTTGCTTGTAAACCTATTCTGATTTAAAGCATCTCATGCATTATTCTTAACTTCTGAAGTGCTAATGAACTTTTAGTAGTTTTACTTAACTTGTATACAGGTGATGGGGGTTTTTTTCCAAGGACTAAGACAGAAATTATTGTCTTTTATCAAGAGCTCCTGGAGCATTGTTTTCAACCTTTTGGTCCAGCAGAGAACTTTTTTTCTCATTTAGAAATACCCAATCTTTTATTTGGCCAGAGCAAGGGTGTTTCGTAAAATGCTTTGTTTTCTTGCCACAAAAACTCTAGGAAGCCCTGTTACGAAAGAAAGGCTGTCAAGTGGCTTTCCTCCTGCCTTTATCACTGATGTTCAATAACCATTCAAAACTTACAGGGTCAGGTAAGAGCTTTCTTAATAGAGCAGTGACATTATTTCTGGTTAGCCTCCAATATGTTATATTTGCTGAGATCTCCAATGCATTTTTCATTTGACCTTTTTTGTTTTGGTTTGGTTTTGTTTTGTGGTTCTATCACCTTTTACAGAAGGGATTTTTTTTTTTTTTTTTAAGTTTAGTTTAACCAACTAAGTCTGCTAATGGATCCGCTCAGCAGTTATTCAGAAGTGTTTGCTAATGTGTTTTGCTTTAGTGAAATATCCAAAATAATTGGATTGAGAATGCAGCATGCAAAGTATTTTTCCAATAGCAATATTTGGAAAATCTATGTGAATGGTGCTGTATGCTCATTGTTGCATATATGTGTGTGTTTTAAGCTACAACAGCTTAAGTGAATACTTCAACACAACAAAAGTACTTGAAGTCAGAAGAAGAATGAGCAACTGAGTGCTTGACATATACTTTAGAGCTTCAAAGTTACACCTTTACTTGCTTGATAATTAAGATTGTTGTTTTTTTTTTTTAGCTCAGTCTTTGAAGTATTGATCCTGCAAAGACTTGTGTGTGCAATTAACATTCAATTGAAGTGTTCAGGCAGCTAAAATTAGTCAAGTTCTTCAGTCCTTGCAGGATCAGGATTTTAGATTCCTTAGTGTTTATGTTCTTAAGAAATTTTTTTTTTTTTGACTGCAATGCCAAGTATTTATTTCTGAACATCCTTGAAGTTTTTGTTAGCTTTTCTTAATGGAATATTTTTAGTGGACATTGGGAAAATTTAACTTTTGTTGGAGGAGTCAGGGGAAAGGAAAAATACTGTAATGAGTGCAGGGAAATAAATAGCAAACTCTAATACAAGATTTCTTAAACTTTACCAACAGAAACACCATCGTATTTCCCAACTTTGCTGCTATGCCACTCCTCAGTAAAAAATCAAAAAGAGGCTATTTACTATGAATGTTCCAAAGGGAATATATGAAACAATGTCTTGATTGCACAAAGTCTTAGTGCTGTAGCTGGTGAAGTGTTATGAGCTATCTTGCAACACCCTGAACGCTGTCAGTGTTTGGGTGTTAAGAACTTGATTTATTTAACATTAGCTCTTCAGTAGACACATTCATTGGCATGCGTTAGTTATAGCATTGACAAGTGTTGTAATCTGTCTCTTTAGAATTAATACTATCAAGAGGAAGCTTTTTTATAATCTCTTCTTCAGAAATTACCAATATTGAGGAGCTGACCCAAAACCTGAGGCTTGTCTTCATGCTTACCTGTCTTCATTGCTTGTTTATAATTATGTGCATTTCTCTGTGTGTGTATATGTATCATTCACTGTGTATGTTCATACGTGTTTCTGCAGTTAGTTTGTAACTTTCTAGGAATCAAAGCTCTCAATTGGGTCTTTGTTTCTGTGGGTCAAAGGTATACCTGGCTCATTCTTGATTTTTTTCTTTACTTTTTTAATATCATACAGTTTCCTCTAGAGAGTGAAAATCCAAAGAAGCTATAAATGTGATGAATAAAGAATTGGTGACATCTGTGTTACGTAAGATGTTCTGAAGTCAAATGTGTTCATGAAGCCAGAAATAGTCTCTAGGAAGTTCATGTTTATAACTACTACTGTGAATCATCTGTTTAACTGCAAAGAAAAATGCAAGCTATCTTGTGTAAATGTTTTGCTTTGTTTAAATCACTTTGGCTACCTGAACAGAATCTGCTATTATTCATTAACCCTTGTAAGATTAAAATATCTAATTTGGGTTTGTTTTCACATTGTAGGTTTTGACTTTTGCCTATAAGCATGCATTGGTTAATAAAATGTATGGGAGAGGTCTCAAGTTTGCCACAAAACTTGCAGAAGAGAAGCCAACGAAGGACAACTTGAAAAACTGCATTCAGGTAAGGTGTATTTTGTGAAGTAATGGGCTATGTTCATGCTGAGTAAGCTTTTAAAAGTAAGATACAAGTGTGTCTGAATTTTTGATACCTTTTATATTGTAGAACTGACTAAACTTAATGTTTTCACTTTATGCAGGCTTTTGTGACTTGGCCTCCCTTTTTAATAGTGATTTCTTCAGGTTTTTCTTCTAGAATAGCTAATTTCTGAGTAACTCATTTTTAGCAGACTTACTTTCAGGAATTTACTGTAGGACACAAAAAAAGTAGAGACAACTTAGCCAAAGATCTTCTGCATATTTAAAATCCCATTATGTTGCTGTTTAACCACTGTTATTGTTACTATTATTAATCACAAATATTGCTGGTAGAATGTAGCTGGAGAATTAATAGGAATTACTGTAACTCCTAGGACAAAATTTTTGTGCATTGGATTGAAAGGCTATAGATCACGTAGAATGGCTTTCTTTTTCCCCTTTCAGGACTAAGTAAATCAAAGATCTCCAGTTCTCCAATCTGTTATCTTTCTGATAAGATATCTTTAAGATGTTGATATCAATGCGATGTTTGTTGGAAGGATTTAGATTTAAAAAAAGAGTAAGACCCTAGAGCTTCTCACTTTTTTTTAATGTTTACTTTTTTCTTCAGCTAATGAAGCTGCTTGGATGGACTCATTGTGCAACTTTCACTGAAAATTGGCTTCCTGTCATGTATCCACCTGATTATTGTGTATTCTAGAAAAACAGTAATTGTAAACTTAAACTGATTTTATATGGAGCAGGATATGAAAAGATAAGTTTGACTTTTTATTGGAACGCATGTTTTCATTACTGAATGCTGATTATTAAATTGTGTGTATTTATCAGTAAAGGCACCTGGGTACAGCTTAATACCTGTTAACCTTACTCCTGTCATCAGGGAGTTTCCTTATTGTGCATCCCATTGCTGGCAATGGATGTGCCAGAACTGCCAACAGCAAGGATTTGGAATTAGGCTGGAAAGGCTTATTGCATGCATGTTAGGTTCTTAAATGTTACTTTTAACTGCAAACCTGTAAAAGCTCTGTATTTTTTACAGTAAACTGAATTTTAACAAGTTTGATCTTAATTTCAATTGTATGAAGGCCTTAAAGCTACTACAAGAGTAGCTAAAATCTTATTTATTAGACTAAAGTAACGGGGCGTCATTACCTGTATTGTTTGCAAGAGTTTACATATAAATTTTTTTTAAGAAAAATTCAACCTCTCCAACAGTTACAGTGTGTAACTCAAAATTGCTGATGCATAGGTGCTCTTGTATATCTTCATTTTGGAGTGATTTCAGGCAAACTCAAAAATCCATGTGAAGCCGAGTATCAGGACAGACTGATACATGTACAAAAGTGCCAGACAGTTAAATCTTGATCAGGTATTGTAAAGCTATACATATATGTTTAATAATGTTAAAAATGTAAACCACAGCAGAATAAATGTGCGAAGTTGAAGATCAAAAAACACCATGTGCACTCTGATACTTTAAAAGATTATTTTATAATTAATAAAAACATATAATGAAGCTGAAAATTGTATTGGTTTCTGAAAGAGTATATAAATGAAACTTGCTGAAAGAAAACCCCTTACAAGCAAAAGAAGTTCAGTGCAGCCCAGATGATCAGTGCTTTCTGTTAAAGCCTTTTTACTGACTCTTGCTACTAACATTGTTCCTTCAGTGGAGTGAAATTGGTCTGTTTGTAAAGTTCATTATGTATCAACCAGAGACAAATTGCTGTATCATTTGTCTTGCCAGGTTTTTCATAACTTGTAATGCAGAACTCGGATACAACTGCAACTTTACAAACATAAACACACAGAAGGTGCACCTTAATGCTGTAAAATATTCCAAACTGTAAGGTGCTGCCATTAAATCAAAATTAGTAGTAGTTTTCTCTTTAATTCTCTCTTGCTGTGGCTTTAAGCAGCTTGACGTTTGATTCTGGAAACTCTGCTAGAATGGTTACGTTAAATATATCACAAAGTTTCTCCAAAAATTCATAGTCTGTACTGAATCTGAATTTATTTGCCCATAGTAATACTGTTCCTGGCTTACAAAAATACACCATTGTTGCTAGCAGGGGGTCCAAAGCTGTGTGGTGGTATACAACATCAGTTGCCAGTAGGAAATCATAATGGTAAGTTGATACAGGAAAGTCTTCGTTGAGGTCTTCTCCCCATACCAGTTTTCTCACTTCGGGTTTGTGCATATTCATGTTTTGTGTATTTCTTGAAATATTATACGAGAGATTTTCAAGAACTTCAGGCAAATCAGTAGCTGTAACGTAAGCTCCTAAAGAAAAGATTAATTTTTTTCAGTTCATCCGTATGTAGTTGAACATACATACATGTGTGGGTGTATATATATAAAAAACCTGTTTACATAACATCCCCAGCTTCCCCCTCACCAATAACTAGGGTAGTTACTTTATTAATAAACAGTATTTTAAAATCACTTTCAGTTTTAAAAAAAAAGGGACAAACAAAGTTTGCTTCCACTGTTGCTTCATTGCCTTAAAGTGGCAGATCTAGATCACCTTTCACAAGAAATGCAAAAGGAAATATGAATTTACAGACCTAAGATACAGGCCACGATGGAAACCAAGCCTGTTCCAGCACCAATTTCCAGAACTTTTTTGTCTTTGAGGTTGAATTGTTCTTGATTTGATTCCAGATATTGAGATAAAGCCAGTGCCTAAAACAGTTAACACGTATCCATAAGCGGTGACAGGTAAGTTGCACAAAAATTCATTAGATGTTTTTATACAGGTTTTTTTCACACAATGAAAAACACTGAAGGCTGTAACATAAGGATGTAATATGGAAAGAATTATTGTGTGTCCTGTTTTTAATATAAAAAAATTTAACAGCTTATTTAGTTGATCTAGTTGGAGATGTCCCTGTTCCTTGCAGGGGGGTTGGACTAGATGACCTTTGAAGGTCCCTTCCAGCCCTAACCATTCTATGATTCTATTTGTAAGTTTATGGGATATGGATTTGCTACACACTTCTATACACTGTGAGTCCTCTGACAGCTCAAGATAGGTAGTGTTTAGATGTGAACCATACAGTCAGAACAGGAAACAAGAGGATTAACAATATGTAAAAAGTAATGTTCTGGTTTATTATCATAATTGTTACGGTTTATTATCAGTATCATAAAGTAGATTCAGGCTTCAGCAGAGATTTTTTTGAAAACTGATTTTTTGTTGTTGTTGCTTTATTTTTTTTTTTGGCAAAGAAAATATTAGAAATCTGTCATTTACCAGCTCAGCACTTGTCTATTGATAATAGTATAAACTTTAAAAAACAAACAAAAAAACCTCACAGCTGTGCATTGTATGGAAGTATTGCTTATCAGACCTTTGTAAAGATCTTATCAATGGAATATAAATCAACTGTTTATAAACAACATAAATGGGTGCCAAAGAAACTAACATCCCCCTTTTGCTTCTCTTCTTTAGAGTTGTATTACTGTTACTGTTTTAACTCTTGTGCTTTTCATAATGCAACACTGGCTACCTGCTCTGGGGAAGCTGACAGCTAATGAATCACCAGTCCAATTTGTGCAACCTCTTGATTTTCTTGGAGAGTTTTACCGTTTGCATTCTGACACCTGATTAATCTGAGAACTGACGATCTGACATTTCAAAATAAGATACTGTTTCACTCGCCCATACACTTTCTTTTTCTCTATTGTTTTGAAATTGTCTGCTGTTTCCTGTGAGCTTTTTCAATAAATGTGGATCTGAAAAACTTTGAAATCTTAATTTTCATGTCTTTATCAGTTGACTCTCTTCCCTCAAAGGCAGTTTTCTCAGTCCACAAAAAAATTCTGTTTTTAAGAGCAGGAGAAGCAAAGACTGAAGTTTTGATTTTTCCATACTGCAATGGAACTCTTCCAGCTTGTTCTTTAAAAGAAGCATAATTGTTTTAAACTCCTTTATTTAATCTCTCACAATTTTCTTTTTCAGCCTCCTTTTTGCACTGTTGTTTGCTTCACAGCAGCGACTAATGGGAAACATGGAAGAAGCTGAACACTTCTTCCCAGGCTCCCTTAATTTTTTTTTTAAATATCTGCATCCAATTTACAAATACTTACATGCCACAGTTCTTTGGCCATGAACTGACAAATTAGCATGAGACAGAGCTTTCTGCTGAAGTACTTCACAGCTTCATTCTGCCTAGGGAAACCTCCATTGTCAGGAGCGCCATCTAAGAAAGCTTCCATAATATTTGTGTGCCACTGCCATGGTTTACTCTTCCGTCACATCAGCTTTCTGGGTGCTGTTTCAGGTACTTACCCCCGGCCACACCACAGCTCCAAAGTGTTCTATGGACTCCTGAATGACGATCTGGTGGCCTACGTACGTGTAGTGCTCTTTATCAAAGTAGGGTGAAACTCTAGGGACCCAGTTCTGTAGTATCTTCAGAGTTACTGGTGAATCTGAGAGAGAAAAGACAAAAATCGTAGTTGTTTGTATATGCAGGTGTTTATATGCAACTTGTTAAAGAAAGGGTAAAAAGTATTTTGCAAAATAGTGTGTAGGCATGTGGGCTAAAGAAGCTGTCAGGCCATTGGTCTTGAGACTAGTTGCTGTGCAGAAGTGGATGGTCTGGCTGGCCCAGGAGTGAAAGGAGCAATGGTCATTTCCTGCCATTCCGAGTGTTTGCGTAGGCAATTTATGAATAGAAATGAGCCTTTTAGAAAAATCTACTAATTCAAATATATAACTCTCTTAATAACAGCTAGAAGACTTTCAGGACCAAGTTACCTTGTGTTTTGGGGTGTGCCGTAGTTCATATACTATGCCCAAGTGTGCTAGGTAGGGGCGTGTGCTGTAGTTTTCAGTTGCGGGGCCAGCAGATCTAGAACATCAAGCTGCTTTTGTAAAAAAGGATTTAGGATTTACCTCTTGTGTTGAAGAAAACCTAGCCCTTTTCAGTGGTTGTTTTCTAATTTCTTCCACAAAAGGAGAGTTGTAAGTTACTCTTTAAGTGTATGTTGACACATACAGTGCTGTCCAGCAAGTGTAAGTACTACAGTTGTGCTAGCATGTCTCGTCATAGCAAGCAGCCTTGTAAATTGTAGATTTGATTTTTTTTTTCCGTGAGAACTCTGCTGAACTGCTCCGTCTGATCTTACTGAGAACAAGGACACTGTTGTGAAGGACTGCACTGTTGTTGGAAGCCAGTTAGCACAATATGCATAGGTGATAAAAAATTAACTTGAACTGCAAAGAAAAATTTTGCTCTGGCCTGCAAAATTTTAGTTGATGCCTGGCCTCTGGATTTTAGTTGATGCCTGTCTGAAGTCCTTGGTAGGTGTTTGAGCAGTTTAGCCTGTTAAAACTTGTAATACCATGGCTTCAACAGTGCCAGCCCAATTAATGTGTATTATAATCATCTCTGATTGTAATTGAGAAATAATTCTTAGATGTCTAAATAAAATCCAAAGACCTTTTTAAACTTATATCTTGATTATAGAGATAGTCCTTTTCGTGGATGTGGTCTGATAATAAACACAAGCATAAGGAGAAATGGAAAAAAACAGAGATAGAAAGAAGTAGTGACATGGTGGCATCTACTATTTCAAGACTGAGAAAAGTGAAAGTATGAAATGCTAGCACGCCCTAGTAATTGCAGTATTTAAATTGGATTAAACCTGAGTGGGATTCTGCCATTGATGATGTATGCTTGGAGCTGCAAGTGCAGTTTTCAGAGTCATACTGCTCTTCACAAGTTTCTTCTTCCTCGGTTTGGCAGTCCATTACTCCCTGAATTTTGCTGGGGAACGGTGGCTGCTGTGCAGAGATCATGGCAAAGAGCTGAAATGGAAGGGGGAAAATGTTATTGTAAAAGCTTGCAGACAATCTCTTTGTATGAAAGGTGACTGGAAGAAGACACAGAGTAGTTTGGATGGCTTTGGTTTTGGGGTGTTTTCAATGATGGGTTGAAGAGACAGGAAGCTATGATGAGAGGTGACATCCCCACGCCACTGGAAATTGCTTTGAGCACTTTCTGGTAATGCAGTAATACTATCAGAGTTTTTATTTTATCATGTTTGTTGTATTTATTATTTTATTGTGTTTATTTTCTCAATTATGCAAAGTCTTAGTATTATGTCAGTGAATTGATGCCATGAATCAGTCTGAAAAGTGAGCTATCACCTATCAGTTGAAGCAAAAGCTGAGAATGATCAACTCTCTTTTACTGTCTATGGCTTTTATCTGTGTAATTTACCATTTCTCAAAGAAGTCTGGACTTGGCATTACTGCGATGAAATTGGTTAATTTGCTGCAGCCAGTGCTCTTGATTTTTGTCTCCTTGCATACTGTTGCTTTCTCTTCTCTGTGTTTTCGTGCAGAACAGCTGATGAAATTGCCCTGAAATGTAGTGAACTGCAGAGTATGCAGATTGTGGTTAGGAAATAATTGCAATGAGAAGTTTGGATAAGTAAGCTTTTTTGGAGAACTGTGTGTGTTATGAATGACTGTGCATCCTCAGTGTACAGGGCAGCACCCAATGTGAGGAGGAACTTCTTGATGCCAGCTAAGGAGCAGTAAAAGCAGGAGTAGGACTGGATCTAAATTGGCCTGGGGAGAAATATGCCAGTGAAACTTTTTGCTTTGCTAGAGTTTTCTTCAGTGATAGCACCTATGTCTATGCGTATCTGTGTGTTTGTGTATATATATGCAAACACACATACATATCTATAAAGAGAAGAAAATGCGTCATAACTTGTTCTGGCCAGAGGCTGTACAAGTTCATCCTTCCCACATATCATGATGGCTGGAGTGTGCTGCGTTTTTATCCATGATTTGCCTAAATCTGTTCGTTTTTGAGAAGGCATGTGTGTTTCCTCTCTCCAGCCACACGCACTGCAGTGTGTTGTATAATTTGGGTTGCATCGTGCCACAGGCGGCTCTTCTAGATGCCCTGGCCAGAAGGGGCAGAGGTTTGTCAGCAGCCAGGACATTCAGCAATTCCTGCAGGTAGTTTTTTAAGGAGCAGAGTGACTTCTGACTAGTGTGAGAAGAATTGCACACCTGATATTGACACCATTGCAGTTTTACTGATACCTGATATATTCCTTATTGCTACTCTTGTTTATTCACAAGGACAGGATTTGTGTTCTGACTCCTCTAGCACTGCGTTTGTTCAGTCATGGCAGTCATTTTGTTCTGTTTCAGAAAAGAGTGTGCTTTACAGTAAATTGATTTGTGTAGATATTTATTGTTTTAGTTTATTTTCCTCAGAGGGCCTCTATCTAGCTAGTAATAAGTTCTGGCTATGCACCTTTTGTGTGTAATTGGAGATACGATGGTAGGTAAAAAACTGAGATAAGGCTGCAGTTACAGCATTCCCTGACATAGGAGCAAATGCATCCATGTTCAAGTTTCACACATGAAAGTGTGCCTCCTTATAGCAGCAATGGTTTCTATGCAATCTCATGTAATCAGAAGTATACTTCCAGTTTTCAGCAATGCCTCTTTCTCATATCTTCAGCTAGAATAAAATCTGGTTATGTTTTAATGTCTTAAGAAATCTCTGGAAAAATAATATTAAGACTTGTGTAATTGGCAAGGTGTGTAATGAAAAGAGAAGAATGTTAGAACTGATGATGGCTACACCCAGACAACACTTATTTGAAGATCCAGTCTTCTGAGCATTTTATGTTTAAACGTGCAAAGCACTACATTTTCCAAGTTTGGTGAGGTTTTTGTCTGTTTGTTTTTTTTGTTTGTCTTTTCTTTTGTAAGGCTTTTGTAGCATGAAATCTGTACTATTATTAATATCTGTACTATACAGTACCCTTGTATGTAAAAACCATAAAGGTTTGTTTAATGAGTAAACTGTTTAACCTGTCAATTTGAGGACAAAGTGATCCTTCTGTATTTTTTCTTTGCTTAGATAAGTTATTACTGCAACAGGTAAAAAATTCAGTTGGCTATGCATAACAGTGCGTACCACAAAATAGCTTGGAAACAAGCTTAGTAAATATGTATTTGTTGATCTACTCTTAGGTAGTTGCAGTAAAATACAATTGCATCTCTGATCATGATATATACCCTATTATTACTCATTCAGTATCGATCGAATTCTAAATTAAATTAGACATGTTTACATTAAATTTTCAAAATAAAAATCACTATGCTTTCTGGTCCTTTGTCCTTTGAGCTCCTCTAAAAGAGGACTCTGCTTAAATATTACAAAAATGCTTTGCTTTTTTTTGTTAAATCCCTTCCTAAAATGGCCAGAAGTTCTAGAAGATGCCTAGTGGTCACGCTGGTCCTGTGGTGTGACTGATGCGGTCCTTAAGTCCATTGATTGCTGGAGTCCTCAGATGGTAAACTGGGGGGATATAAATTACGCACTTTGTGTTTGTATGTCACCTAATGCACCGGGCTCTGGTTTATGGCTGAGGCTTATAGATGCTATCATAATATCTCTTCATAGGGGTAGTTTTTTATGAAAGAGAAAGGTGGTGTTGGTTTTCATTGTGGTTTTTGAGAGAGAGAGAGAGCCTACTGCCGTAACTATTAATTATGTATTGCATAAACTGGAGTAGAAGGTCAAGCTTTTTAAGCTTATAATTTCAAGAATTCAAGTATATTAGCATCTTAACCTTAATGATGCACAGCTTTATTTTATCATTTTAAATGACAGACTCTACCTGAAAACTACAGACACAAGCAAGTATTGAGTAAGCTATTTGCAAATAGGTGATGTTTGCATTATTACATATCCTATGTGTAATACAGTCACGTTGCTGTGCTTCTAGAATTGTAAATACTGACATTTCTTACTATTTTGATATTTTTCTGGTCCATATTTCACTGAAAATGCAATATCCCTAGAAGCATTTTGAGGTAATATAATAATATTGCAACCAAAATCTGTTCCCTTAGAAAATGTTGGCTCCTTCTGAATGTTAGTGACCAATTTATTTGCAAAATGATCCTGAAGGGAAATCATCATTAAATTCTGTGCTTTCCAAAGTTTTTAAACCCATATCGACTTCATTAATAGTCTTACACTGTTGCGAACAAAACAAATTAAAAATCACATTTGATTTCTTCAGAACCTAAGGAAGAAAGAATAATTCACAAAGTTGTATCTATTTGACAAGGTAATTAAACACAAACAGCCGAATTGTTAAGATGATGATAAACCTTAAGGTAACAGTTCATCCCCTATAAAAATAAACTTTGTGCCTCTTAAATTCCAAAAGCCATATCTTGGAAAAAGCTTTTTAAATCTAGCTATGTGCCCTGCTCCCCC